ATTCCAAAGGTGGCTGCTTGTTTCTAATGTCCTCTTATCGCAGCTATTAATAACCATCACATGCTTGTGTTTAATTTGTTCTTATTCGAACCAGAGCTTCTGTCCAGAACAGTCTCGATAAGTGAGTGATTAAAAATAAAACGTATGAAAAAAGGCAGTGTCAAATCAAGCTGCAGCACATCGACCTATTCAGCAAATGCTACTGCAGTGCTAAATCAAAATGTTTGTGGAGAATTTGGGGAAAGGGAAAATAAATAATGGTGTTAAGGGACGAGTTGCGAAGTTTGGATGACACTCAAAGATAATCAAAGGTTTGGTAGCAGAGTCAACATTTAAGTGACTGTAAGACTTTTGCTTGAATGTGTATTTCTAACTCAACCTTTTATCCAATGTGTAACAACTGCAAAACTGCTGACTCCGATGAAAAGAAAAACTAGTTGATAAGATGCACATGGGCTGAAATATCTGCTGATGGTGCAACGGTAACACGAGCAGATACATTTTTTATAAGGCTAACCGAAGACGAAATTGAACACCAAGCCCCGACTGATCGATTGTGATCTAACTTACAGCCGTTGGCTTCATTCGGAGAGAAAGACTCACATTTTGGGATTTCAGTTGTTTACAGGGATGAATACACTTTTTCTTGGGGAATTTTTGTTTCACACTAACCTTCTGTAATTGTGGTAAACTGTGTTATTTTTTTGAAATATATTTTCAACTTTGCGACATTAACTCATTATTCGGTAACATCAAGATGTGTTATGCTTGTTTCTATCCACATGGTTTTATTAGCATTTTCCATATGTGTATAATAAATCCTGGGTAGAAATGTCAAAAAATAAGATTTGTGCAAAAAGTCAAGGACATATTCACATTTAAGAAGCTAATCCAGAACATACAAACGAATACCTGAATATGAGAATTAGATAGATCATATATCTTGAAAATATACTTTCCCCTGCTAAGAGAATCCAAAAGCTCATACTAGACTGCACAATCATTGGACTTGAGTTTGTTCAGTAGGTGTGTCTTCTCCTGAGCTTTGTTTGATCAATGACTTTGTGGGGTGGGTCAGTTGATCCAGTGAGGATTGCTGGGTGTCAACATGCTCTACGTCTCCTTCAATCTCTGTGTTTCCTCTCTGTAGTTGGTGGGATTACGTGTTCTCCCTCAGTGAGTCACACTGCAGTTTGCTCACTGCAGAGCACGCAGACTCATTTAGTCATCTTTAAGACTTGATTAGGTGCCAGTGATGTTCAGCGGGGTTAAAATGCTGAGTCACAGCTGATTTGAAATTGTTTGCATCTACCTGTAACTGCAGTTTAGTGTACATTTCTGAGATAGAGACAGATTAAAATTAACAAAAATGTAGGCAGCCTTAAAGTATAAACCACAGACTTGTGCTAATAATTTGAGAAAAAACTATTAAAACATACTCAATTGTCCCAGTAAGTTGTGCTGAGACACTGCAGATCATTTCAAGCCACTTGCAACTTAATTCCATACAGCATTAATGAACCCAAGGATTTTTTTAAATGTTCTTTCAGTGTTTTTTCTCTGTCATTTTTCACCAGTTTTTTTTTTACACTGATCAATAATTACATTTATTGATTAAATTCAAGCACAAACAGAATCATCAACGTTAAAGTTCTCCCAGGACTTTCATACAAATATTTGAAAATGAATTTAATATCTTATACTTTAAGCTTTATATCGACTATAGCATAGTAATTAAAGACCTAATGTTATTTAAAGTGGACCTATCATGCTATATTTGAATAATATATTGTAGAGCCATACCTATATAAAACATTTCGGTGAAGTTTTCTTCTCAAAATACCAAACAGATCATGCATTTTAGCTATGCCTCATTTCGCTCTATTTGCTCTATTCCAGCCCTGTCTTCAAAAGGGCTGATTCTGTGGCAAATGAGCTGCAGCTGACCACGCCCCCCTGCAAAGGAGGGGGGCGAGGCACGAGCGTCATGTTACCATGCTGTTACCATGCTGTTACCATGCTGTCACCATGCTGTTACCATGCCACGGCAACCCCCCATTCCCCTGATAGGTGGAGAGTTGCCCATATAGGCGGAGCTCATTGTTTCTGACGTCAGAGATATTTCAAATCTGTATCAGTCTGTATCAGATCCGTTGCAGCCCCATTTTTAGAGATTTGGGTATGGAGGAAAAGAGATAGGGTTGTGTTTTCTGACACTTGGTGAGTTCCCTGACACACCGAGGACACATATTCATGTATGAAAGACGTACAAAAGTGCATTTTGCATGATAGGTCCACTTTAAGTTGACTATTCTTATTTTTTGATTGTATTAGTTATTTCTATGACTTTATGAACTTTCTAATTTTGTAAAATGCCGTCTCTTATTTTCCAGATGTCCTTTTTATATTTCCTGGATTTAAGAACTTATTTTTTTTAATTAATGCATTAGTGTATGAATTATATTCAGAAGCTCCAGGCTGCAGACTATGTGAAGAAGTAGTGACGTCAAAGCCGGAGCAGAACTTGGCATCAACCTATTAAAATCCACAATATTGCTGCTCTGTTTTAGATGTTCTCAAATTAGGAGCCTGAAAAAAACAAATAGTCTCTATTTCCACCAAAAAGACCAGGAATTATATTTGCTTTTTTTCAGGCCTTGTGTTTGTTTCCTGTCCTCAGCCTCTTTGCATAAAAAACATCAATGTGTTGAGGACTGGTCAATGGTTCTTCATTATTTAACAAGCATCTTTGAGTTCCTTCATGTAAACCGATAGGTTGTTTTGTTTGTGCTTTGTTCCCGAAGAGCTCTCGTGTTTCACTGCAGCCGAGCGGAGATAACAGTCTAAATATAGAGCAGGCTGCAGCAACTCTGGGGCCCGTGGGCTCGAGCCATTGTGCTCTCAAGAGTCGAAAAGGTATCCTGAATCCTTTTAGCCCTGAACTCTGTAGCCCACTGTAGTCAGCATTATGACATACCAGTTAACAATGCAAGTCATGTAGACGATGGTTTCGCTACTGAAGTTAGAACTGCAAGATGGTGGAAAAGCCTGAAAATTACTGTAACTTACCAAAAGGTGGATTGGTCAGGCTCTGAATTTCTCCCTTGCTCTCATCTTTTCAGCTTTCACACAAATACATTATATCTGTCACTCTTCATAGGAGTTCAACAGCAGGAATGTCTTTCAGGAGAGACTTTGAGAAAATATGTGCAATCCCAAATGTAACGGTATTGCATCTCCTCAAGCTCCATGACACCATTTTGTATATTCATATATTTTCTAATTGGTAGATGAAATTCCTGTCAGGAGCCTGTTCAAAAGAGGGAGAGACTGAATGTTACGTAAACATTTAATTTGAATGTTACTTAAATGATATAAAATAAATCTCAAGTATGAAAGAAATGTACCCACAATTTTCTAAATAACGCCTACATGTTGTGCCACTTCCAGAAACATGTATACACCTCGAGCTAGTTTAGGTGATGGGATGTTTAAGTATCTGCGTCACATTCAGACTGCTTAAAATGAATGTTGGTATCAACCTGGGTGTTATTCTTATATTTCTTTGGTGGTCTTGACAGCGTTTTACTGACCACAGTTAAACATAATAAGGAACATTTGCAAGGACAAAAGCAATGTGGGTAAGCAGCTTCAGGATTTAAAAAAAAAATCTCCTATCTCTGTGTCTTTGAGTCAAATCAGACAGGTTAGTGCCCCTTGAAATCCATGTAATTGTAAATAACTGTAATGAGAAGCAGAATTGTCTTGGCAAGCTTCTAGCTGACGTAGATACCTGTCCTAGTATATTGTGAGTATATTTTGATCTTACAGGGGTCTTCATATAGATGTTAAGCTTCAGCTGTGAGCACAAGACTCCTGTTCGAAGGAGCCATCTCCAACTCTTCTCTGCCCTGACCTTAAAATAATGATCTTATGGCAGTAATTGATGGTTTCGAGTTATTGATGTTAAAATACAAATCCCGTTGGTATAAATCCAACTGACTGCTAGTATGGTTAATTGCTCTTCAGACATCCCCAGCTGATTGTGATTGATTGAACCTTTTGCCTCCAACCTTTTTGCCGAATTGAGAAAACTCAGATGGGTTTTCTGTTTTCCCCTTACATCGCTATGTGCTGCTTTGATTTATTACCATTATGGCAGATGTGCAATTTTTAAGGCTTATTACTTTATCACTATCTTGCTGAGTATGAAAAACGCTGAGAGAATCTCATCTTCTTTCCAAACTCTAATTAAATGTATAACCTTTTAAATACGGAAACTCATGTCCGCTGTTTTTGAATGGTTTGGTTTAATATTATTAGAGTGTTTTATTACTCATTACTTTTAAAGAGACGGTCATTCATTATTTCTTTCAGTCATTCATTAGAGTTCTGTCCAACCATTAAGGTGCTGCAGATGTGCAAGAATGATTGTTTTTCCCATATGTCGGCCCCTCCAAGTCCAAGTAGATGGAGTTAAAACGCATGTTTTGTTCGTCCAACAGGATCTGCATATATATACTGTATATCAAGTATAAAGTTTACTTAGGTGTTCTTTTGTTGCTTTCAAATACTTACTGTCCTCGATATCACATTTTTAAATGTTCAGAAACCTTTCTGCACATTCAAAACATATCCCATCATTAATGTTCCCTGGAAAGTTGAAGTATTTTAAGGGGAAAAAAACGATTGGAGTTAATAATATAAAGTCAGAACCTTTTAATATCTTTTAAGACAATGTTTTATGAACAAACATGATTGCCAGGGAGAATTCAGTATGGATTTGATAGTTTTCTGACCAAATTGTATGTTGTAGGAAATTAGATGAAAGTCACTGTTTTCTTCCTTGGCAGATAACTCACCTGTAAGATATGTCATATTGAATGCAACATAATTTGCAATGTTATTGGTTTGGAACCTCCACCCAGTAAGGAACAGCTACCTATATGATTTTTTTAAATGATCATTTTTATGTGACCAATTTTTTTTATTGTTTATTTCCACAGATGGCCTCAGCAACAGCAACCTACGGGCAGAAGGAGTCTTCGGACCAGAACTTTGACTATATGTTCAAGATCCTCATCATTGGCAACAGCAGTGTGGGCAAAACCTCCTTCTTGTTCCGCTACGCCGACGACTCCTTCACACCGGCCTTTGTCAGTACGGTGGGCATCGACTTCAAAGTGAAGACCATCTACAGGAATGACAAGAGGATCAAATTACAGATCTGGGTAAGACATTTGTTGATGTATTTGGTTATGAGAAAGAGGACATCTAAGGGTTGTGATACTCACTGGAACATCTGGAACAAAACCTGTGGGTTAGTGACGTTTTCTGGATGTCCGTCCGTACCTTGTCTGTACATCCCTCGAGCTCAAATATGAACTCATTAGATTTTATTCAAAGGTTGAGGTCACTGTGCCCTCACAGGATTATTCAAGAACATAATACGGTAATTTATACGGTTCCAAACAGTCAATAAGAAAAAAAGGTTAGGGGTTACATTTTGGACTGAAGCGTGGCGGAGGCATACGTCTGTGAGGCGGGCATTCTAGTTTTAGTGTTGTAAAAATACTGCAAACAACATTTCATAAGCTATTTGATAAAATGTTCACCGAAGCAGCAAGTTCTGTAAAACTGCCCCGTGGTGCAGTTTTATTATGCAAACTGTCCTCATGTTGCAGTAAACACACAGAGATCTGCTTCCTCTCTGCAGCCTGCTCATCCAGCTGACACTTGAATGAGTATAATAATCATTCAACTAATGACCAAAACTCAGCTAGTAAAATAGGAACAAACGGGGCGGTGTTTGTTGCATCAGAACTGTGTTGTCCCCTGAGGGCTCAGCAGTAAACAAAATCACACAGCAGAGTAAAGACAGGCTCCCCGAGGAACCGCATCATGTTGTAGATCATAGCATCAACCCTACATAAAGTGGACGTTCTGCAGCAGACCGATGACCTGTGATGGAGTGTGTGTGTGTGTGTGTGTGTGTGTGTGTGTGTGTGTGTGTGTGTGTGTGTGTGTGTGTGTGTGTGTGTGTGTGTGTGTGTGTGTGTGTGTGTGGCCCTGTTGTCAGCCTGTGCCAGGTCTTGCCTCTGGTAAGGGAGACAAGCTCAGCCAATCAGAGCACGAGAAAGTGGATGACTGGGTGCTCTCCCCTCCCCCATTACTACAACATCTCACCCGAGTACATATCCTCCTCCCTCCCCACACACACAAACACACACTCATATACATAAAATCCCAACCCCCATCTCTTAGCATTTCTCTCAGCGGAGCCTCCAGTCCAGTAAATATAAAAATGGTTAGAGTCATGACCTCAAAAGTGATTTTACAATTTATTTATTTTTGTATTCACAGTGTGATTTATGCATTTGTGTGATAAATAGCTAGATAGATAGATACATAGATACATAACGCCAATGTTCACAACTTTATCTTTGTTTCCACTCTCATGAAGAACCCAAAGATGAGTACTCCAAAGTGTTAAACATCCCTCACATTTTGGTTCAGAGCTGAAGCTCTCATCCTGGGCCGACTGCAGCACATTGAGTGGATGAGCATAAACTGAACTGATTAGGATCATCAGTATTGAAATGTCAGTGCTGCAGCACTCTAAAAATAGATGAGTGTGCGTGATTAAGTAAATATATACACTAATGAGTCCAAGAAATAAAATAAAAACAAAATAAGTCTATCCGTGTAAGTATTTGTTGTATTTGTGTGTGGGGAGTTTATGTTATTGCATAAAGCTTAGATGCTTCAATGTAAGTGTAATTCCCAAGTAAGGTATGCTGAATTTGGTATGGGTCTTCAAAATGAATATGAATAGAAGTACAAATGACAGCAAGCCCTAATTCATAATTAGTATATAATAAACCTATAGTAGATACAGTGGTTGAAGCAGGCAGTCCACGTCAGTCTTTTGCTTTGCTGATCTCCACTGACGGCAGAGTGATGCTGTTGGACCGGAAGCATCTCGGCTGGGTATCAGAACCCAGCAGGCTTTAATTCCCTGGGCATTCATTATGGCTTAGCATTGACATTCAATATCACCTGAGCCATGGCCAAGCAAAGACAAAGAGAGAGAGCCCGAGGGAGATTGAGGCAGGTTCAGTGCAAAGCATGCGGGTGGAAATAAGGACAAGAAGAGGAGTCGATTATTTAAAGAGCCACAAGAGGCTAATTCAGTCTGATACGATGAATGTTTAGGCTTTTTTAGGCTCAAGTACATCTTGAACTAAGACAGGGAACCAACATTTGTTTTTTTGGGGGGGGCTGGATTTTGATTACTAATTTTGACATATACGTTATTGAATATTTCCCCCAGTGTGTTTACTCAGGTTATACTGGAATCTGCAAACAGTCTGCCTTCGTAAAGACACTTTGACATCATACAGTTAATTTGTAAATGTTCTGTATTGTGTTTGCTTCTCTGAAGACTTTTTAAGTTTATCATCATTGCTGCTGTTGTTTTTCCAGGACACGGCAGGTCAGGAGCGTTACCGCACCATCACCACGGCCTACTACCGAGGAGCTATGGGCTTCATCCTCATGTATGACATCACTAATGAGGAGTCCTTCAACGCCGTCCAGGACTGGTATGTTATTGTCTTGATAAGAAAAAGTGTAATAGTAATACCTAGGATTTAAGGACACATTCATCTCAGTGTTTGAGTTTCCTCTCTGACTGCTGGCTGTTTGGTTCCCAGGTCGACTCAGATTAAGACGTACTCGTGGGACAACGCCCAGGTGCTGCTGGTAGGGAACAAGTGCGACATGGAGGACGAGCGAGTGGTGGCCGGAGAGAGAGGCCGACAGCTCTCTGAACACCTGGGTGAGTTCACGGGGTACACACACACACACGCACACACACACACACACACACACACACACACACACACACACACACACACACACACACACACACTTCATATCTCTGACTCATTGTTAGGTACACTTACTTGAACTGAAACGATAGACAGAGACAGAGACTTTGGCCGGCTTGTGTTTCTATATGAAACATTACAAGATCAACTAGGTTTATCAACATAAACCATTTGGAAACATGAATACAAAAATAAAAGAATCTAATAGATAACAGGATATTTCACTGTTTTCTAAAACAACAATTCATGGTTAAGATTTCACCAGCTGAACCCATTACTACATTTACACTATGAATATCCACAGATGACCACGTCAAGTGTAGTCAGTCAGTGAGTGCCAATGAAGGGTTTTGAAACAAACCATCTTGAAAGATATGTATTGTATTTCATACAAGGAACAAAAGACACGACAGATGAAGAAGCAAATCTTACTAATTTATATCACCAAACAATTTCCCCAGTTGATTACTTACATTAAGACAAATATTTAATCTATTAATGGTTAGAACATGTTCTGAAACATTTGCAAATGAGGCATTATATGATGCTAGCTTTGATTGAATTCAGGATAAATATATTTGCACAAATTAACAAAGTTAGTATAATAAACACCTGATTATGTATTTTGGATGTTTTCTCTCCACCATTCTGAAAGAAGAAGCAAAATAGCCCAAAAACAGTGAATGAAGAAACATTATGTTGTGATGTATTGTCTTGCCTTCAACCTCTCTGACCCTCTCTCTGCTCCGCCTTCCAGGTTTTCAGTTCTTTGAGGCCAGCGCCAAGGACAACATTAATGTGAAGCAGACCTTTGAGCGGCTGGTGGACATCATCTGTGAAAAGATGTCCGAGAGCCTCGATGCCGGAGATCCCGCTGTCACAGGGGCCAAACAGGGGCCCCAGCTGACAGAGCAGCCCGCTCCTCCTCACCAGGACTGTGCATGTTAAAGCTGGCTACTCCCCCAAAAACCCTTTTCCTGCCTCCTCCTACTTGTCCTCCCTCAGCAGGACCCCGGGGCCTCGGGTCAAATACTACATCACCTGTTTTACTCACTTCCTGCTTATTTCTGTAACCTAGTAAGGATCATTGGCTGAGGGACACAAGAACCAGGTTTAAAAGTTACTGAAATGATGCTAGTCGACCAGTACTCGCTGCATGTTTCCGTATGGTTCCTATTCATAAAAGATCTTAAAGGTAGGTTTTTGATCAGTGCAGTCTGACGCCAAAGCAAGTTCAATCGAGTGTTTCATACTCTTTATAAACCTGGTTCTTGAAGGTTCCCGACCCATCTTCCTTTGTCTCCCTGTTCCTCAACGTGGTTTAAAAAGAAGGATTTGAAGGCGACCGTCCTCAGAGTGCCATTTAAATCCTTCCGATGTTTACAGTTCTTTGTTTCATGTCAGTCAAATGTCTTGAAAATATGTCAGTGGATTAATGTGGGAGGGGTGATCCAGCTGAAATCTGCTCCACTCTGATGTGTTACATTTCTGTCATGATTCTGGATGCAAAGTGAATCAACATACATGGATCTGTGTGCTATTCGTCGATTCAGCTGGTATCTAAGCATAGCTTTTGCAGGTATGAGCAATTGTTTTGTTTTCATTATCCATCTGAGCCTTTTCATTTGGCCTTTTTTTATGTTTTTGTATTCTGGTGCCCCATTTATTCTTTCGGGACTGGGTGGGGAAAATATAAACAAGTTAGAGATACGTAAAAAAATTGCAAAAGAATTAAGAGACACGTTTTATTTAATTATATTTATTTCAAATGTACATATAAATGTTGTGCAATATATATAATATCTACAGGTATGCATTTCTTGAAATGAATTAAAAAAGGTATGAAATTCTATGAGGATAGTATCAAATATAGGAGGTCTGTGTTGTTTGGTTTGTTTGGATGATGTGTGGAATGGTGTGCACCCTCGGCAGCTCCTCCGTGAGTCGTTTCATTTTCATGTCCCTTTTGTCTCATGCTGCCTTTCGGAGAAGTCAGAAATTCAAACTTCCCCCTAAGAGAAACACCGGGAAATGACCCTTTAAGTCTGAATATAAATTGGAAACTTACAACTATGTTTATCATCCACCAAATCCACTCGGTGTACTGTTAAAAGTGAATAATTTTAAAATGGCTCTAATATTATAAGAAAGAAAATGTTGAGGCATTTTGTCACAACTGCCTTAAAATTACAGAAAATGTTCAACTGTAAGGAAAACATTTTGCGTAGCACAGTTGGGCTGGCTAACCATGCTACTTATTGACATCAGGGTATTAGGCAAAGAAAATGCAGCAGTTGATGCAAAGCATTTCAAATGAAATTATGTGAAAACTTATATTTTTACCATCTTTCCATAATCTTAAACATTTCCTCATTCTCTAGAATTTGATGGAATGGGTTTGGAGGATGCAAAAAATCTGTCTGTTATACGTATGGTGTTTTGCCTGTGTATTTATCTGATAGTTTCAAGGGAGTGGAAGAAAACATCAGGAGAGACTAGAATTACATGTGACACACAGTACAGACAGAGATCAGCGACTTCGTGTTTCCTGACAAACAGCCAAACAGTAAGCAGCTCCTTCAAAATCAGTATTAAAGCATCTGTTTTTCTGTTTCCTATCGCCAACGCTCAGTCTTCAGGTGAAGAACAAAGAGAACTGTTAAACAAGAATCAAATAGCTGGAGGCTGAAATGTTCACTGTTTTCTAACATGCCTGGAGTCAATGCAGGATTTAAATATTTTGTATATATTCTTGATTCGAACCCATGTGTAACGGCCACATTTCTTCTCACAGCTGTTTTTTAAGCCTACTTAACATCTCTCATTCTGGTTGCGGAGTTCCCCCCTACACCAACACTTGTTTAAATAAAATGTCAACAGTTAGAACTGGCTTGCCAGGCGCTCCTACTTTTCACTTCACCAAAGATTGCTTTTAGGAAACCAGGATGAGCAGTGTGACCAAGTTTAAAACTGTATTAAAACAGCTGCTGCTTGGAGGACTGAAGTGAACGCTGGACATTTAGAAATAATTCTCTCACTGTTATGCTGTTGGGAAATGCTATCAGAAATGTTGAATTGCTTTAGTTTTCAGTAATAACAGATATCAAGGAGAAGAGAGGGCAAAACATTGTAAAAACATGATGGAAGTCAAAGTCTAATTCAGAAAAGCATTTATTTTTCAGAGTAAATGTTGCATTAGTTATGTATTACAGTAATTGTGGCATACAAACCTGAAATCACAGTCAAGACACTGACTGAAAGGTTTAGAAAATGAGGTCCCTGGTAAAGTGGCCCTTTAATGTATTTACTATTATAAAAAGGGAGTGAACATCACGACAAACCTGGGAGAATCATTTTATCCTGCGTATGTTTTACTTCTTACTGGATGTGACTGTTTCTTTTCGGGTAAAATCGAAACTTTTAAATTGTTCTCCTTTCTAATATGTCTTCCTCTCTATATAAACCAGATCTGTAAATACTGTCCCTTTGAGTCATATATGTGGATTGTGTTGTACCGACTCAGGCTTGCAACAAAGAAATAAAAGAGGAAAAAAGACAGTAAAAAACCTAAAACCACACAAAAGAGCCATGTTGTTCTGTATCTGCATTCATTAGGCCTTCATTGTTAATGAATGTGTCACTCTGTTACAAAAGCAATACACAATACAGCATCTACACAAAAAAATGAAATGCCATCAAGCTTGTTAGAATTTGCAGACTTTAGATCTTCTACTCGCACGCAGGAACATGTACTTTATTTGGTCTCGTGTCACTGCCTCTTTACATCCTCCTCAGTTTGGGCCAGAGAGAATATGCTGTGGATGTTTTTATCTGTACTTTGTGGTAAAACAATAAAAAGTTACTAACAATCAGTTGATTCTTGTTTTTGAAGATGTACATTTGAGGGTAAAAGGGCCTAAATTAAAGTTAAAATCTCAAAATAAACTGATATCATACAGTGTTATTGTATATTATGATAATATAAATATTGTTTTTGACGATTAGATTGTTCTTTTATCTACAGCCTTAAGATGTCCCACTTTTCCTTTATGCTGAACAATTATGTAGGAATATAAGCGTGACAAGAAGAATAGTTTCTTACAAGGAAAATTCAAAAAAGATGTAATCAGTCAGAGTTTAACACATTTGGGCATTGTGCTTCTGACATCAAATAGACTAACCAGGTGAATTCTTGCAAACTATGATCCAAAGTGGCTTGTTTATTAGGGGGTTTCCAACCAATAACCAAGCTATCAGCAAAATATAAGGTATCATGAGGGACAAAGCATGCAAAAAGGGAAACAAGTCATGAAGGGTTGTTCTGTGTTTCTGTGCTTCTGGTATTGATGTTTTTGCTGCTATTGCCAGTGTTGTCTAAATCCAATCTGCCTCTATGACCGATGGCTAAAACCTAAAAATCTGTTCACTGGTGCAAGAATCAGATCCTATTTTATAGTTTAACATTTGAAAAATTGAACTTATACACAGTTATTGTCTGTGAAGAAGGCCTGTTTTTAAGGCTCTTTATTGCCTTTGGGAATTAAGTTCTCCTATAATTTCACACTCTGTAGGATAAATTATATAGATTTAGACCATTAGACACTAACATCTAAATGATATGCTATCTATATTTTTACAGCAATAGTGGTACTCAAGGCAGGGTGAACCAACAACTATTAAGAGTGAAAACTACAGGATATACAGTACTCGATCAAATATGCTCACGAAAACCATACCACTCATCATAGCATCATTATATGTGCATGTCATTTCAAACATTAGGACAGCAAATTCTTTGCAATTTCTCAATTAACCAGCAGATGGAGACACCTGGTTAAAGATGTTTCAGGTTTCAACAAATACACTTCCACAATCTTCCCTCAATGTTCTCTCCTTATAATAAAAAAAGTGTTATTCCGGAATAATTGTGTGTTTATGCTTTTATTGTAATGACTTGTAGTCGTCAGGTATCCAAATGTTGTGTTGGCACTGCAATATAACCCAAAATATCATCATATCATGATATTATTTAACACAATGTATTGTGAAAGAAAATCTGATTCTAAACCCAGATCAATACCTTTATGAAACTGAACACCTGTTCATCTTCAACATCTGGTTAACTGTTGCACACATTTAGACTTATAACTTTGATTTTCACGAAACACATGTTGACATTAGAGATTGGCAAAAATGGAGGAAACAGTGTTTATTGTTGAGCAGCATTTATTTCGAAACACAGGTGGCATACAGCCAAACAGCTGCAGGCTACAGCAAGTCAGTGCAACAAAAGGTTATGACTCTTCAGTCATCACATTTAAAACAACAACACAATTAAATAGGGACACAGTAGAGTAAGAAAAAGGATCAATATGTGTTTTTATAAAGAGTAAGAATTATAAACAGTGTTTAATCAAACCATTTGACACCAGCTGTGGGAAACATTTGAGTATGTAAACATCATGCAAATTGTTCCCAAATCAAATAAATGGTAGTTCTGTATGTAGATTATCTTTTACACACTATTGTGCATTTTTCTTACATGCTCTTCCCCATATATTAATGATAATTGTGTCATACATATTATATTAATATCACTGTATACATATTGTAAATATTTTTGGTCCATGTTTAAGACTGTATATAGACACAACAATTCTGTAAAAAAAAACACAGGAAAATAAATTATATTCTGTCTTTAAAGTTGAATAGCCCCAATAAAAGCCTCTTTCTCTCATCAGAAAAGCCCAGGGCCTAATTTCATTGGAAAACAAGGCAGTTTAATGCTGCCTTGTACACCAGTTTACATAGGAGGTAGAACACCATTTTATACACCGAACATATAAAAATGTAAACGCTCTTAATTTCGGCTTAAATCCAATAAACCAATTAGCGATCATGTATTTCCAAATCGAACGATTAGCTGATTCGTCCTCTCCATGGAGGAGACTGTGGAGCAATGAGAATCCTGGGAATGTGTTCATGAAAAAAATGTATCTAGGCCTACTTAATCTTTTGGCCATAGCGAAAATCGCCCTTTATGTTGAATTGTGTTCTACCGAGTATTTTGTACATGTTCGTCGATGCTCAAAAGCATTAAAACACCCGATAAGCCTACTTACAGTAGCCTATATTTAGGCAAAGGTAGTCTGGCATTCAGTCCACTGCGGACACACATCTGGGCTACGCTACGTTTACAGAAAAAGGCAATATTAACAAAGTCCATGAAGCTTATATGCTGGTCAGTAGCCCCACACCATGTCTGTCTCTAGTGCACCTGCACCTCGTGTGGCAGCAGCTGGCAGCCGCTGGAGACATGGGTGAGGACTTTCTGTTTCAACTGGGCCACCTGGTCCCTCAGCAGGCTGGCTGTTGAGGCCAGGTCGACGTTATGGTTTTTCAGCGATTTGACCTTGTCCTCCAGCCTGGAGATCCGCTCCAGTTTGCGCATCCGACACTTGGAGGCTGCAATCCGGTTCCTGAGCCTCTTCCTCTCGGCTTTCACGACGTCCTGTGAGTCAATGTCGATGGGAGACAGCGGCGGGCTCTCCCCGAAGCTCTGAACGTCCGGGACCGTCTGAGGCTCCTCCTTCAGCAGCTGGATCCGAGACAGCTCCTGCGGGGCTGCCCCCAAATGGTGCACCGGAGGGGGCGGAAAGGGGACCGTGTCCGTGGTGTAGTTGACAGTTGTTTCCAGTGGGCCACTACCGTAACTGTTCAAGTTGGTGTACACCGGTAGATCCGGCTGGATGGTGACAGGGGTGATGTTAGCACCCAGGTCCAGGTTGGTCTGCCCGGCTCCGTTCAGCTGGTTCTGCTTGTGTAAATCCTCCAGCGCCTTCACGAAGCCCTCTGCAAACTCCTGCTCTTCCGTCACCGTCTTCGGGTAGAGGAAATGGGAGCTGGTCGGTATGGTGGTGACCATCCCGTTGGACTGGATGATGAGCCTCTCCAGCTCCGGGGAGGCCAGCTTGAGCAGCCCCAGGTCCGGGGAGCTGAGGATGCTCTCGGCGTCACGGAGATGGGGTTTGAGGTCTGCCTCGACCACCAGGCTCAAGTTAATATCCTTCTTCATCATTATTTCCGTTAATAAAACAAGCTCACTCGCTCAAAAACTATGCCTCACCCATAACCTCGTAGAAATAAACAGCAGTGTAAAATATCTGTGTAATTAATGTGTCTATGAGGCTTACTGAAACCCTGTCTTCTGTTCTCGAGCAGAAACTGGCTATGCTGCACGCCCGCGCGCACAGCCTCGAGCTTTTCTATGCTGGCAAGTTCCATTATGTCACATCAGCGCGCGACCGCATTGGGCAGAAATTTCGTTTTCCATATTTTATTTAAATAATGGGACGAACCGAGCAAAGAGGAGGAGACAGGAGTGGAGTCTCACTCTTCAACAGGAGGCAGTGCCCTTATATGTAATCATGTAGGTATTGTATCTGTGTAACTCCTCAGAACCAGTTGGTTTTCGGCAATTTGGCACTGACAGTTATTGGATCACACTTTCTGATTGAATGGTGCTCCCATTCATATAATTTTCTTCTATATTCAAAAATAACAACTTCATCACAGATTTATGTGGGCTCCATTATTTTCTATCACCCAGAGGTAACATTGGATTTGGCACCTTTTGGACCTTTATGGTCATGCCTGTTATTGAAGTTTCTCCCATTAATATTAACCAACATAGTTTTTGCTTTTGTAGCTGAAACTTGTTTTTTATGAGGACAATGAACGACCATCCTCCATCTTTTTAAGCTATTGTTTGTTTTCTTTTTTGAAAATGCACATTCTCCCATAGAAGCGAAGCTTATATTTCCTTTAAACAACAACCTGAGGGATATTGTTTTTTGTGTGTTTTTTTTACCATTGTGGTATTTAATAGAAATGAAAGGATTCAATCAATTCTTACACACAAGGGGAACCATATTTGATGTGTTATTTTTTGTATTTTCTATATTTGTTGAAATAATTATAATTGCTTAAATGCGGATAATGAAAATATCAGCTTGAATAAGGAGATAAATAATTGTTGATGTCTTCTCAGAAATGCTGCTTATATCTGCTTTAATCTAGATGCTTCAGTAATGATATCAAACCTGCCATTTCTAGGTAAAATCATTGAAAAAGTTGTTTTTCAACAGTTGAGTAACTTCTTGCATTTAAATAACTGTTTCGATGTGTTCCAGTCAGGCTTCCGTCCAAACCACAGCACTGAGACTGCTCTTGTAAAGGTCTTCAATGACATCCACTTAAACACAGACAGTGGCAGAACTTCAGTGTTAGTATTATTAGATCTCAGTGCTGCGTTTGACACTGTTGACCACAACATATTACTAGACCGACTGGAAAACTGGGTGGGACTTTCGGAAACAGTTCTAAATTGGTTTGAATATCTATAGGTAAATACACATCTGAGTTGACAAATATGACATGTGGGGTGCCTCAAGGCTCCATCTTGGGGCCTCTTCTCTTTAACATCTACATACTACCACTGGCTCAGATAATGAAGAACAACAAAATAAGTTACCATAGCTATGCAGATGACACACAAATGTACGTAACAATTTCACCAGCAGACTATGCTCCAATTCAAACACTGAGTAGGTCAATTGAACAAATCAATGACTGGATGTGTCAGAACTTTCTCAAATAAACAAAGATAAAAATGAGGTAATGGTTTTTGACATCCAGTCATTGATTTGTTCAATTGACCTACTCAGTGTTTGAATTGGANATTGCTTGTTAAATCTATGACTTGAAGTGTGTGTGTGTTTGTGTTGTGTGTGTGTGTGTGTGTGTGTGTGTGTGTGTGTTGATAGCATCAACATAAGTGCAGTAAAATATGTTGGTAAGTTATGACAGCATTTGGCTGAAGGGCACAATATATACTATATGTTAGCATTTAAAATATTAAGTATTTATTACTGAATGAGATTTCTGAAGTTATCGTTCGGGGAATTGGGGCAGAAACATGCAAATGATAAACGCACACACACAGACAAACTACTTTCCTGACAGTCACGTGCACACGCACGCACATGCACACACACACACACACACACACACACACACACACACACACATAAATAATCACAATTTGATTCAATATTGTCCTTGGTGAAGAATTGAAGGACAGTTGTTCTGGTATAATTGTATATGTTTCATACCTAGAGAAGGACATTTTCAGGCCCTTGCTCTGCCAATCTCCAAATATGTCTCCAGACATTAAGAAAATCTCATCCTTTCCTGGATCCAAATGAAAATCTTTGGAAGTGACAGCATGGAAGTACACAGGAATATATTCACTGTTTGGTAAACTAAAAAAGAGAAATCAAGTAGATAAACGTTAACTTCATATTTTCTTTATAAAAAATCGATAATACAATATAAAAAATGTTTTTGTAACAGATAGCGTTACTTGTTTAGAAATACCATGAAACACCATTGAAACAAGACTAAAATAGAGTGATAAGGCTTGATCTGTTTTTTGTGTACATTTTATAAAGAGTAAATTAGAAAAAACAAAAAGAAGTTCTTATAACTCACAACTTACGTTTGTGGTGCTGGTGTCTGAAGGTCAACAGATGTTTCCAAGATATTTGCTGCCACTTGAATACCCACTTTTTCAGGAGGGCAGGAGGGTTTTGACCTGGAGACAACTCCATCACTGTTACCTTGCTGCTGTTTCTCTGCCTCTGTGTTTATTTTCGTATCTGATTTGGGTTCATCAGCCTGTGTACAAAATAAAAGGTTAAAGATTAAACCAAGTCCTGATCAGAGAATCAAGATATGACCACATCTAATAATAATAATAATAATAATAATAATACAATACATTTATAAAGCTCTTTTCCTGGTGCTCAAAGCGCTTAATGTACATATTGTACATTACAGTAAGCTAAACTAAACTAGATGTGATATATAGATATTAAACTAGATGTGTTAGCTGTACATATTGTAAAGCTAACACATCTAGTTCCCTATCCCATACTGTGGGAATTTGGTTGATTTACAGAAACGGAAAGACTTCCCGTTATAAACTGAACATGATTAGTAAATACACTGTCAATTAGTATTACACAGTTTTATCCTGTATTCATGATTGGTCAAAAACCATGATTTTATTGTCAGACTGACGAAGATCATAACAACATTTTTGTTGATGTACAACTATTAAAAGTTATTAAAAACAAAATCACATCTATCAAATGATTTAATTAAATAAGTGTTCCTATGAAAATAATTAAGAAGATTAAGAATACATATTTGTCATGAGCTGTAAAGTTGAGGGTTCAAAATATGCATTTGACTGATAGATACCTCAGTGCTTTGAGCAGTTTCCTTTGTTACTGAATGTTGATCAGTGGAAAACTCAGTTGTTTTGGTATCAGGGTCATCTGAGTTACTCTGGTCTCTCGCTGCTTCGTCTTCTCTTCTGTCAGTTTGTATAACAAACGTCTGCTGTTCACTGTTGGTGTGATTATCATCTGGTCTCCCAGATAGATTGTGTATGTCATGAGAGATTGTCTTATCTTCACCTTGTTCAAATGTCGACTGCTTTGCCACAGAATCACATTGTTGAGGTGTTTCAGGAGCAATGGAGACTGTTTCTGTAGTTGATTTGAGATTTGACGCAGAGTTAGACGACGGCTTCAAGGTAATATCACTTGGCTTCTCAGCATGAGGACTGTTGTCTTTACTATTATCTGATGGGGCCTCTGTTTGTTGCTCCACCGGTTTATCGCCTGCTTGTGTAGAGGAGGGAGGTGTCAAGCAAACAGACAGGTTTGATCCAGGAGCCGCCTCTCTGCATGGTTGAGCGTTACTCTCAGGTGCTGTAGCAGCAAGCCTCTCTTCCTCCTTTATAGCATCTATAACTTGTGTCTTCTTGGTGGTTACTGCTTCTGCAACTCCGAGTGTCTCTTTGGGGGACGGGGGCATTGCTCCTTTTTCCAGTGTGGCTTGGCTGGCAGTCTTATCTGATGGGTCCTGTGCTGCCGCCCCATCTTTGTCTGGCTCCAAGTCATCACTGGCCAGCTGACCCTGAAAAGAGACTAAATAGTTAGCTTAACACATATCAGTTCCAGATTCATTAACTTTTCTCTGAGTTAATTCACATGATAACATAAGTTCATAATTAGAAGTTAAAACTATGAATAATGTAAATATAGCATGAAGAAGTGTAAATGTAACTATATGTATTACTGTGATTGCAGCTGGTGGAGCTTGTAACACATTCCTGCCATAACACAAACCTGTTCCCATTTGTATGAGCTTGTTTACTGCTGTCTATAATGTTGGTGTAAACCAAACGACAGAATAATCTTTCATTAAAGCAAGAGGGAGTAAAGGTTGCTGTGACTGTGAAAAGACATTGCATGGATTATTTCTGTATTGAATTACTATTATATATATTGCTATTAATTGTTGGTTAAATTCAAGGCTTAATACTTTTAAAAAGTAGTAGAAATATTGCAATATAAAAACTGTTTCTTAGCCTTTTCACCTTTATCTGGGCAGTGTTTTCTTGTTTTTCATCAACATCTGTTGAAACCTGGTCTTGTTCCTCCTTTTGGTTCTTCTCCTGAGCAGTGATCGAGGGGTGATGTGCTGATGTGGACACATCTTGGAAACAAATGTGTGGCTTATTAGCATGAAATCCAACCACCTAAATGTCAGTTTTAGTTATGGTAACAGTATGATAAAGAACACACTATTTCAGTTTAGAGGCAAACTAAACTGAACCTTTAACTACCATATAGATAAATCACACTTGTGTTTGGTTTGTTATTTTAAAAAACGCTTTTATTTTCTTCAGAAGAATATTGTGTGTAGAGGCCTATTATTTATTTCATTGTGGTTTAAAGTCCACCTGCAAAATTGTTTTATGGTTTTATGTGACACCAGCATATACACTTTAAGATAAGGTCTAAAATAAGTGATTTAACATTAACAGTGTATTGGTTAATCATAAAATAGATGGCCGTGTGGATCTCCACAGAAATTATGTAATTAACAACGATTCTGCATATTTTTCAATCAACAACCAAAATAAATGTAAAATTACCATGGTTCTGATTTCGAATCAAGTCCGATAACTTGAAGGCACAACCAGGACAGAAGTTATATGAGCTTTCCACTTTAATTCCACAACCCGGGCAAAACATGATTCATCTGTTCAGGAAGACAACATTCACAGCAAGAAATCAAAGCAAATACGTTAATGTACTGTAGTTGTTAAGCATAAGGACCAAAATTCTTAAATCCTTAAACTAATTATTTCCAAAAAGTTATAGCTCATAAGAGTATGGAGATTAATGTAAAATGCTGCTCTAACTTAATGAATTATTAAGTCCAATATAAAACTACTTAAGGATTGAAGTCTTCCATTGTAATGTGTGTATTAGCCAAAACAAACTAAGTCTGTCTCACATCCTTCTTCTTCTCTTTCTTCCTTTTCATTTGTTGAACTTGATCATCGCAAAATAAGATATTATAGAAACACTTACAATTGAATATAAAGTATACAGTTGAGCCTAATCCTATAGTAAATGAATGAAAGATTTAACACATTCCTATATAATACAAAGAGAAATTTAAAATAAAAGCTGTCAGTGTGACTATGCTCAGATTTACTATTACAGACACAGTCCTTTTTTTTCTTTTACTTAAATTGAATGCCTTTCTTCTTCCCTCCATTGTTGGAACTAAATATCTGAGCTGATAACTGAGTTATATAACTTACTTGTTGCTTTCACTTTCATTTACAGGAAAAGGGTGAGGCTTCCTAACAATTTCCGAAAATCCGAGTCACATCTTTATATAGCTGGTTCAACTATTTAAATGGATATTTAATGTATCCTCATATATGATAGAGTAAAGCAGAACATATTTACATTTATGGAAGCTGAAACTAGGGTAAAATCTTACGTCCCTATTACAATACCAATGATTAGAACTTTACTAAATTAGGAGTTACCTCTTTCAATCTCACCCTCACTAACACATTTTAAAATAAAAGACTTCAAGTATTAATCTCCAAGATTGAAACACTCGCAACATATTTAGATAACAATACAGCCAATGTACACTTAATCATAACCTCAACATTGATATCAAGTCATCCGTGTTATCAGAGTCTCATCTCATGTTGTCAAACTGGAATCATTTGTTTGTACACGCTGGGTTAGTTCAAGGTGAGGCTCCCTTATAAAATACCTACAATGAACAATAAAGAAATAAAGCAATGAGGATGCATTTTTGCACTTTAATGCAAAAACAATCAAGCAAAGTTTGGATATTATAAGTCATATCTTGTGCTTGATTTGGAATTTAAAGCTACATTGTGGAAACGATCCAACAGATACTTCTGACTAGTTTTATTAATGGTTCAAATGTATCTCTGTTTCAAATGAACTTCAGTCATATGGACTAAATTGACTACTTTAATAGAGCAATCTACGAATTCAGAGTCTGAGCCAGGATGGCACGACCAAAGGGCCTCACCTCTGACTGGTTTCAAAAGAAGGGACTGACTTCTGCAAACTTACAAGCAAAATAAATTATTATGGCAACACTTAAAATTGAATAGAAAGTATACAGTTGAGCCTAATCCTATAATAAACTAATGAAAGATTTAACAAATTCCTATATAATACAAAGAAATTAAAAATAAAAGATGTCAGTATGACTATGCTCGGATTTATTATTACAGACACAGTCCTTTTTTTCTTTTACTTACTTTTAAATATTCTAGGCACCATAATTGAATAGATTATTCTTAAACAGGGCAGTCAAAAAGAGTACCTACTATGTCTGTCTTCTTCCCTCCATTGTTGGAACTAAATATCTGAGCTGATAACTGAGTTATATAACTTACTTGTAGCTTTCGCTTTCATTTACAGGAAAAGGGCGAGGCTTCATCATAATTTCCCAGAATCAGAGTCCCATCTTTATATAGCTGGTTCAACTATTTAAATGGATATGTAATGTATCCTCATATGGTAGAGTAAAGCAGAACATATTTACATTTATGGAAGCTGAAACTAGGGAAAAGTCTTACGTCCCTTTTCCAATACGTCTTTCACTCTCACCCTCACTAACACACTTCAATTGTTACTCTTCAAGATTGTAAGACTTGTGTTACACCACTCAGACCACAAGGGTATTATAGGTGTAGAAAACGTTCATTTATTAACTTCCACAAGGCACATGTGCAAGATGTCAGAATCTCAAACGATCTCAAAGCACGACAACACACAGACACACTTCTTCTGTTCATCTCCAGCATAAAACAATGATGAACCATCAGGTGATCTGCCCCCTTGCTCCAGAAATTAGTGTAATGTCATCTACATTCATTCTATCTGTCCTTCCTTTTCTGACACTGCGATTCTCCAACTGTCCAGCAGATGTCACTAGAGTCCTCCAAATCTGGCCCAGCATCAGCTCTAAGTCACTTCCTTCCTCTTGCCAGTTTTTCTCTGTCAAGGTTTTAGGCTCCAAATGTGATTACAGATTGTGAGGCCTATGTGTACCAGGCAACTACAAGGGTCTAATGGTGGAGTGTTATGAAATAATGGACGGAGACACTTTCAACAGGGACACACTCAATACAAAAGAAAAGAAAAGTTGGTGTTGTGAAAGGTGACGGGAGCTAACAGAACAGACAACTGGAAGAACAAAACTGCACTAAAGAAAAAGACAACAGGGCAGGGTAACAACCTTACAATATGTAATTCAATTCAGAAATAAGGCTTTGCCAAGGCAGCTATTGCCAAAGGCTCTTTTTGGCACTGAAATGGAACAGTGGGTTACATTGAGTTCACGTGGGGGTAATGCAAGGATATTTTCTCCTAAAAAGCAGGCAAAATGGCATTCGAAAGTGAGAAAGATTACTGTTTTTCCACTGCCTCTGAAGTCAGTGGAGCGTGGTTAATCATATCATCTCATTGCTAGGCTGAATTGTTGACCGTGCTAACAGGATTTGTGTGTGTGTGTGTGTGTGTGTGTGTGTGTGTGTGTGTGTGTGTGTGTGTGTGTGTGTGTGTGTGTGTGTGTGTGTGTGTGTGTGTGTGTGTGTGTGTGTGTGTGTGTGTGTGTGTGTGTGTGTGTGTGTGTGTGTGTGTTGGGGGTGTGGGGGCTAATCTCAGTTCTGGGCCATTGAGGCCTCCTCCTCTTCTTTACCACCCACACATCTCTTCTAAACACACAGACACAAACCAGTGCAGGCGCCAGCCAATCACCACCTCACTCCCTTTCTTTTCCTCTTACCTGCGTCACTCTGCATGTGTTGCCATGGTGATCACTGATGCTCCCCCCACACTTAGAGTGTCTCTACCTCTTCCAGTATAAGGATGAAGCTGACTTGTGGCTGATGATGCAGGCAGGCTGCCCACGTCATCCCTTCCCTCGGGAAGGACTATTTTTACCACTAGGCACAAAGTATTCCAAGCTGCCCAACATATTTATGGAACTGCATCTAATCCCAGTCTGCCTTGAAAAACCTCATTCCCCACACTCTGCGTCTCTTTCCCCCTATTGATTCTTCTCACAGAAATAGTGTTTTATCAAAGCCGTATTTGTATCTCTGAAATTAAGATGACAACACTTGAAGATTCACAAACAATAGTTTTAATATCTGCACTGTTTTTAATGTGATATTCACCAGAGATACTATACTCACCCTACAAGGGGAGGTCAAAGGTTGAAGCTCTTGCCCCACAGCTGGCAGAGATTCAGTTTTTTGCTCAAGGGAACTTCAGCTGAGCAGTTGCCTGTTGTGCCTGGGACAGATAGCAGTGAAGAGATTAAACATGGCATTTCCCATGGGTTTGTGACTGGTCATTTTTAAACAGAGAAATTGTATTTTCTGTCTGAGCTAGGTTGTCATTTTTAGAGGCAGAACTGCCATAGTGAGGCAAAAAAGAGCAAAGAGGACTTATCTTACCCAAGAAATGGGCTAGAAGCTAAAAGAACAACATGTAGGTGTTTGCAGTGGAGATACGTTTGTGTATGTTTTTCGTCCTTTTCAAGATGGACCAAAATTCATGGTTAACTGAAACAGGCTATGTGAAACTGAAGGTGGAGCACAATTTAAATTGGGCTGGAGCTCAGCTCCAACTCCCACAATATCATATCATGCATCCCCTTTATTTTTGTATTCTCCCAATGACAATAACATAGTGATCATAGTAATTTTTAGCAAAAAAAGATGGTTGAGGCAAATTTGACCTGAAGTTTTCTTGACCCACACTGATTGATGTTATCAATTGTTGTTGATAGGTTGCTGTGAATTGGGTCATAAGGCAGGTAGAGGTATTTACCACAAGGACACATCCATGCCATCTTATCAAATTGTTAGTCAAGCTTTAGTGCAATCAATCAATAAATCAATCAAGGTTTATTTGTATCGCCCAATATCAGAATTTGTTTACATTTGTCTCAGTGGACACTGCAACAGTGGTAAATTCCCTGGTTTTCATCGTGCAAAATAAGGTTCCTATGCTTAGCTTTCCAGTAATAGGATCTGTTCCCAATTATCTGGACAGCCTCTTGACATGTGTCATATTTTCTAGTGGGTTGTGTTTTTGCGTGGCCTGACTCACTGCCCCCAGGCCTAGGGGCACTCTCCTCTTACTCCCCAGACCTGCCATCCTCAAATCCTCCACTAGATGCCCTCAGATTCATCCCCCTTCCACCCACACACTGCCTTTTTCAACTCACTCCTTGAAAGTGGTTGAATTTGCCATGTTCTTCCTATCATCTTTTAAGCCTATTGACAGTTACCTAAAACCTTGGAATTATTGTTATTGTTGCCAGAATGAACATTTGCCTTTGCATTTCCTTGACTGCCCCTTGTTGTATTTGTTGTCCTATTTGGACTGACACCCCTGCTTTGTTTGCCTGTTTAAGGATTTGATGATAAAACCTCCATTAAAATCACTGAACTGATCCCGTTTGTCCGATTTTATTGTTTTGAGTACTTATACATAATGTAATCTGAATATGTGTTGCTGCTTGCTTGTTTGATTAACTCTTACCTAAGTTGTACACGTCATGTAAAAGTAATAACAACATCAACCTCTTAACACAAAGCCAGAGCAGTGACCTTATGATAAATCAGCATTTGTTCAAATTGATTCATTCTTTGATTTCCAGCTAAATTAATTCAAACAATGCTCTTCTGACAGGGCTTCCTAATAACACCACCTGGCAGCTTGCACATTCTGTTTGTATGTCTCTGAGGTTACGGTTCACATAAAACATTCTTAAGAGGACATGGGACAGTTACAAATCCTTTCCACATAATCTAATATACATGTTTCTGTTTCATAGTTTGGTTGGAAAATGGAGAGAAGCACATGACACAAACCACAACTTCAAACCAGTATGAAGCACTTAGCTTACCACTGGGGAAATTAACTGAAATTGTATCAATTCTGTGGGATTATCAGATTGTTAAAGCTGCAAAAAATAACAAGCTAGATCAATATATCTAATATAACTAGTAAAAAACTTCAGCCAAGAAGTAGGGTAAAGACAGAATATTTAATAAGCAAAGGAAACAGGTTTATCAAAACTAAATGAATAAATAGTCTACATAGTTCCTAACTAATTCAATATATTCATACACCTCTTCTGAAGACTGTACATATGTGGAAGTATTACAGTGTGATCATGTTCTATTTTGTTCCATGTGTAAGCAAATATTATAATTTGCTGTGTTTCTATGTTTTTTTAACAGATTATGTAAAACCATAAAAAAAGGTGTAAGCCATTTCAGGTATTGTGTGTGTGTGTGTGTGTGTGTGTGTGTGTGTGTGTGTGTGTGTGTGTGTGTGTGTGTGTGTGTGTGTGTGTGTGTGTGTGTGTGTGTGTGTGTGTGTGGGCACATGCTTATATGAACACACACAAATACACACACATACAAACACACACACACACACGCACACACACTGCAGAGGTTTCTACTGTGGAACTTCCTTGAAACTGCGTCATCAGGCTCAGTGGAGCAACTTAGTTTTATAAAAATCATAAGAATTTGATATCTGTGTGGGGGAGGTTACTTAGTGTGCCATGTGGATTTACCATGAACATTACCCCAAAAGGTCACATCTCATCAGCTGTGAATTATAGTTGTTTTCAGTTGCTAATACTCTTAAATGATACATAAAGCTCAAGTATTTAAACTGAGACTCAAAGAGCAAAACTTCAGCTAAATTCTCCAAAACTCCAAGCACTGCTGATAAAGATTGTTTTAATTACTAAAACACGTTTTTGAAAACAGGGCTTATTTTCTCAAAACACATTTCACAAAACCACAAACCCAAAATGCAAAACACCTCATATATCCTGCAGAAATAAGCACTGCACTCAAAACTACACAAACACACCTTGTCCATTCAACTACACACCATTGAGCTTTGTCAAAAGCACACTAATCTTTTATGGCATTCTGTATGTAGAGGATTCTGCGTATAAAGATTGTTCACGTCTACAAAATATGCGCAGAAACACCATACTGTTGTTATACTTGTATTTTTCTCCAAAACAAATTGGTGCAACATTTATGCATAACACTAATTACAGTTGTGTAAACAAAAATGTGAATGTGTAAAAGATAAATACCGCAAAAGGATGCATGGATTTGCTTTATTTTTGAGCACATGCATGTATTTGACTTTAACACAAAGTCAAATACCTGTCATTTATGCACTGTATCTAGGTAACCACTTTGAAAGAATGCAAGCGTGTAACCTATGACGTCCATGCTCCCTTGCCAAACCAGTTGCCAGCAAAACAAGACCACATTTTACTGTATGTGTTGGGCTTTAGCTTTCAAAGATCACATTAAGTTCAGAAAAAATACTACTTTCTGTCTGAACAGGATGGGTTTTGATTTCTGATGAAACCTGAAACCACATGTTGCTCATTATAGCACAGAACATTCCTGATTTATTTTACACTGACACAACAGAAGCTAAAACATTATGCATTTCTTACAGCTCATCATAATCTGCCTTGACATGCAGCAGTAATCAACAGTCACTGATGACAGTTATTGCTGGAGGCATGCATTTACTACTCAGCCCTTGTTGACTCTTGTTTTAGGAATTTTGAACATTTAGCTGTCATATGACGCACTGTGTTTTTATCAGGATCACTTTCTCATGACAGGAATCACCAGGGTCGCTCTGAATGGAGAGGGGACAGTTTTTTCTGCAGGACTATGCTGCACTGTACAGGTATAATTTTATGTTTCATTTAAATCCATATGTGTCAATTGTTAAAACACACATACCTACATATCTACAGTATGCAGTTTGATCAGCATCTTGATATTCCACAGCTGGATCTTTTCAATAAAGATGTGCTCACTAACATGGGTATGACCACCTTTGTAAACAAAGTTTGAGACAACTTTCTTAGATCTTTCATTTGAAATTAATATTGCAAACTCAAAAGAGTTTCTATTTTTTTTCTGTGATGTTCTGAAGCTTAAGATACACTTGTGACAACATGTTACAATTAAACCTTGCTAGTTAGTTATTGCTGCCTTTAATTGAAATAAATGTTTTTATTGTTGGTGAATTTGATAGTAAATGGCTGTGTGTGTGTGTGTGTGTGTGTGTGTGTGTGTGTGTGTGTGTGTGTGTGTGTGTGTGTGTGTGTGTGTGTGTGTGTGTGTGTGTGTGTGTGTGTGTGTGTGTGTGTGTGTGTGTGTGTGTGTGTGTGTGTGTGTGTCCTGTGTTTATTACTTCCTTTTTTCTAGCTACTACTTGCCATACTCAGCTTTTTTCAGGCAAAAATATCTCTCCTCTTGGTAACCCCCCCCCGCCACCTCCACATCTCCATTTCCGCCACAGAGTTAAGAGGTCTGACATCACAGGGTCCATCATGTGATCCACCCACACAGAGCCACACAGAGCTTGGCAGTGATGGATGGGGCCTACCTGTGACGCACAAACCTCCTGTGTGTAACCCTTTAAAAGCCAGAGCACTGTTTCGTAGTGCAGGAACTCTGTGTGTTTATTAACAGTAAAACAATATCATAGGAGAGGAAACCATACTTGCCAGATTACAAGAAAAAAATCCCCTGCAAAGTTGATTTGATTATGTTTTTTAATAATACCTGACGGAAAATCTCAAAATTATCTCTAAAATAAATGTACAGTGGTGTGTCTGTACCACACAACAGGGATGGTATAGAACAGTGTTTTAGGATTATAGGTGATTGAAATATACTAAAACTATTGAGTGAAGCGAAAATACCCTCTTAAATGTGGTGGAAGTGTATAGACTAGTGACAAACAGTGATATATAAAAAAGTCTCTTACTCTTCTAGTTACACAGGACATTAAAGAGACATTCAAACATTAATTTAAAAACAATAAAAAAAATTGAATTGCATTGATCAATCCGAAAATCAAAAGTGACATTTTAAAAATCTTTGATGGAAAATAGAAACTTTTAAATGGAAACTAAAATTATCCTGTGACTTTTTCTTAGGATTGGATTTAACTAAAAATAACCTTGATCAGACCAAAGCACGTGTTGAAATAAGACCATGCAGTGTCAGATTCAACTTCTCCAAAGTGTCTTGGCTGAGGGTATAAGGCAAGGCAAGACAAGACAAGGCAAGTTTATTTATATAGCACTTTTCAACACAAGGCAATTCAAAGTGCTTTACAAAAACCTGAAAGACATTAAGAAAATGGCATTTAAAATCAGTCATTAAAAAGAAAAGCTAATAAAAGAAACATTAAAAGAAAAAATACATGGATAAAAGTTACAGTGCAGTCTAAGATATGAATAGTTCAATTAAAAGCAGCGGCAAAAAGAAAAGTCTTCAGCCTGGATTTAAAAGTAGTAAGAGTTGCAGCGGACCTGCAGGTTT